TTTCAAACTCACTGTTATCATAAGATAACAGACCATTTTGACAAAATATTCATCTAATTTATGTTACTAAATGTATTCTGATCAATTTCAAAATAAAAAGTTCTCATTAAAATGTTCACAAAACAAAATTATCTAGAAGTACATTCATGTTTTTTTAATGGAGTATTGTTCTCTGAATTGAATGGTTTAGTCATGGAGTTTTCATTGTTCTTCTGAACGGCATCGTCAGCACAAACTTCGAGTATTGTGACTCCTAACTAGTATGTATGTCTTATAAGTGGAAACCATTGAAAATTAATCGAAAACGTTTCATTTTGATCTTGTTAAAACTTCAAAGTATTTAGTTATACTTAAAATGAAATATGAATTCTGTTTATTAAAAATAGTTGAGATCATTAGTCAATTGAAGGTAGATCAATATAGAAAATCTTGAACCACTAGATGACCATTTCGTCCTAGAATGAGACTCTTCAGCAATGCGCATCTACGATCCCGCCCCCACGAGATTCGAACCCAGGGTCTATCATTCTCGCGCATGAGTGCTTAACCATTAGACCACTGAGTCATCCAGTGCTTTCAAGTTTTCCATGGTCATCTAGCTTTAATTGACTCATGATTTCAATGATTGAGATTACTAAAATCTCCACCAAACCCTTTCTGATTATGAAAAATAGACAAATCTTAGCCTCATCTTTACATTGACCTTAATCTATCATTGATGATGATGATGATTATCTCTTCTCTTTTCATACAATTATTTGTTTATAATTCAAATCAATTATTTACAGCGTTTATCATTTTAGTTAATTCATAATGAAATCTACTAAATAGTTCACTTCTTATAAGTTTTAATCGAATCATTTTTCTTATCAAGTTAAATCATACAGAAAAGAGATAACTATTTTCTTGTTTATTGTTATCATTTAATCTATATGACTTAATATTGTAATCTTCAATTTCTATTGACAGTTTATAGTTTTCCTATAAAGTAAAACTTTACAAATACTTCTCTTTCATGAAGTGTATACTTTAAATCTATGCAAGTACATCCAGTTGACGAGTCTCAAGTAGGACGAAACACACGTCAAATTGGATTTCACTGTTAGCCACTATTCATTTTTTTGTCTTAAATAGCTTGTAACTTAAAGCTATACAGAGGCAATTCTTAGATGAGACTGATCAATTGAAGTCCTAAATAACAATGGGAAGATACCAAGTGAACTTTAAATCTGTTGTTAGTCATGAATGATGAAGCTTAGCTATAGTTGAACTGAAACAGTTGTCATTGGACAATGATCATATTATATCAGGTATTGATTAAAAAAATTTTTTTTTAAACGTATAACGATTCAGGGATCTAATCATTAAATACATAGTTTTATATGTGAAAATGTTACAGCTAATCTCTAATAGAATTGTTAATGAGAACTAAAATGGTTCACATGCTAAAACTAACATGGTCTACTTGAATATCTGGGTTATCTGTTTTTGCCATATCAATATTTCAACAAGTTATCTGTTTTCTTGTTTGATTAAACACATCATTATACTTATCAATCGTAGAACCTATTCATCAAATAGGTTTCAAAAAAGTGTACAATCTTTCATTGTAACAAATTAGTAAAGTATCCAATCAGTAACATTGTAATTACACCGAAATGAATGTACATTGTTCAATGTACTGGACTATTAACATTTAACTGATGATCACTCAGTGTTTATCGTCAGGATCGACTAAGAAGTAAGAAACGGGAATTTTTTACTGAGAACTATTCTATATTATACCAGAATTATAATACTGAATAAAGCTAATACTAATAATAATAATCATAAATTATCTCTCTAACACAAAAAACAACACTCAATTAGGTCAATAATGACATGTCAATTATTCAGTAACTCTTGTGATTCACTTGACAATAAATTATTTAAACATGAAGTTGACATTAATTGTTTTCTTCTTACATAATGAACAGAATATATATTCATTCAATATATAATCATGTCAAAAAGTAAAGTTTTTGTTATATTATATAACTTTATTTATTAGTTCTTTGTTTTCAATTACTAGTTTTTTTTACTATTAAATTAAGTAATGGTTATGTTTTAATAATTGAATTCATGAGTTAATTGAAGCTAGATCACCATAGAAAACCTAGAAGCACTCAATGGCCATTTCGTCTTATGATAGGACTCCTCAGAAGTGCGGATCCATCATCTTGCCTCGCAAGATTCAAAGTTAGAACCTATCAATCATATGAATAACATCACTAATTACTGATCATTATGATAAAAATACACAGAATTGATACATGAAGAAGTGAAGTATATTAGCATTTCATCTAGATAAGTCAATCAATTTTAAATTCTGTTCACAATCGAGCCCTGAATCATAATGATGAGTTATGAATGTTTTTCAACAGATATTTATTGCTTTATTTTTTCAACAAAATTTACTTAATTCAAGGTCATGGTTTATTGATCTTTCGTGTGGAACACAAAGGAATTTTAGCACACACACACACACACGCATACATGCACACAACTGTATATGTATATACGAACAAATAGGAAGAGTGAATATAAAAATAAATTATGGAATGAAATTTCCTGTAAGATGTAGTTTATTAGTTTTATTCTTTTAGGTTACAAAATTTGCATTCGTCATGTTATCACAGAATTTGTGTAGCAAAAACATGTGATTACAACATAATGTGTAAACATATATCCATAGTGTGATTACACAAAAATAATAATAATAATAGTCCAAAATAATCCAAAACATAGTAGAAACTCTAAAATATTCGAGCGTGATTCTATACATGTCGGTTTGTGTGTGCATAGATGCAAGAGATATCTCTAGATTTTTAGGCCAATAATTTGAACTACTTAATAACAATTTAGTAGATCAATTATATTCATATATTTTTTGAATGTAATTAAATAATAACGTTAAGTGAAATAATAATAAGCCGTGACCAGTGGAGCTAATCTGCGTTGGGTAGAAACAGGTGTCTACCTCAGTACAATGGGAGATGGTCGGGCGATTTCATGGATTGGCTGAGGTTAGACATTAACACCATTGGATACCGGATGGCTCAGTGGCCCAGTAGGTTAAGCGTTCGAGCGCAAGACTGAAGGCCCTGAGTTCGAATCCCGTGAGCGTGATCGTGGATGCGCACTGATGAGGAGTCCCACAATAGGACGGAACGGCTGTCCAGTGCTTCCAGGTTTCCAATGGTGGTCTAACATCAATCGGTTCATGATCTCAATAAAAACAGTCTCCACAACCCCTAAACTGATAATAATAAGAAAGTTGATGGAGCACGATCCAAGGATATAAACTATATGTAGCAATTTATGTATTATATTAACTAGTCCACAAATTCATGCATCTTAAAGACTGGTATTAGGATTTTGTTCGATCTTCACTAAAATCCGTGTTCTGATATCTGCATCTACTGCAGATTGTAACCCACAGACAAAAATTAGGCATTTAAACTGATATGAGGACATTTCCTGTAAACGAAACCACTCACATTCCCGGTTCCCGATGCATGTGTACGTTATATAACAGTCCTGTGGTTTTTTCACAAGCTGGAGGCATTGGTATTTAGTGTGAAAAACTGATGATTGTTCACCAAATATACATGTCAGACACTCTACTATTTCTCTGACGGTTATGTTGGTTAGCTTCATTGGGAGGAAAAAATTACAGAACTTTTCATGTTCAGACACTCCGAGCTTGCGTAATAATAATCTGAATTTCGAACCTTAGTCCCACTCTTTACAATCATTAATAAACAAATCCTAATGGCGTTTAAACCATGCCTCGAAAGTAATTCCACATTCTGGATCAAATCTAAATTAATTTATTGAATTCGCAATAGAATCCGGAGTCATAGTGGAATTAGATACATTGGTCCTTGGGGATATTGACATAATTTTGACCAATAATTCGATAAGAAAATTTTGTTGTTGCTATAAAGTTTTCAGATCATCGATTTTATTCTTATAAAATCCACTTTAACTGAATATATAGGCATAGATCCGTTCTAACCGCCGTCGCCAATTGTTATAACTGGTGGTTTGTACCTGTGGTTCTTTGTTTTTACCCGTCGCCAATTGTTATAACGTTCGATTTTACTCCGTCTAATGTTATAAGGGTTAGGTTTCCACGTATGGGACGCTAATTTACCTTAGACGAATATCTACACTAGATTCCCTTCAACTGTCTATTCTTTCTACAGGACTTTAACACAACTCAGATGATAAAGAACACGTGATTAACCTGACTAGAACGTAAATATATTTCCACACCGAAAACGGACATAATCCAATAACTATGAACAATCAATAATAAGCGAGTCACAATAATAACAAAGATAGAAGAATATGTAACTCATCTGACACCTGTCACACTATCTACATGTTTGACTAAGCAGACAACCAATGATTATCATCTTCGGCTATATATCAGATAGTAACTCACTTAAGACAATAATGGACGGTAGCGCATTTTCGTGGATTATTTAAAATTGCACACCAAGACCATTGGATGCCTTTGGTCTACATGTTAAGCGTTCGCGCGCGAGCCTGATATATCTTGGGGCGAGTCCGTGAATGCTCGCTGCTGAGAAGTCACATACTAGGATGAAATGGTCGTCCAGTACTTCTCGTTTTCCATGGTGGTCTAGCTTCAGTCGACTCATGAATTTAATTATTAAAGTGAATAGACATTATGTGCTAATTCGTTCAACAAACAAAATATATGTTATAATCAATGAAAAAGTTCTGTTTTGTTAACCGATAATCTAAACTGTTAATAATGATCTCGCCTTACTTCTTATTAATTGTGTACGGGGTATAAATAATAATTTTAAAAAATACTAAAAAGTCATCTCCCAAGTTTGTTTACTACAATTTTTCATACGTTTTCCATCAGTTATTTATTATTCTGTTAATATAGTTGTGTTTTTATTTCATTTTTCTTTTAATAGAATATGTCATCAACACATTCGAATAGATCAACACCAATATCAAGAACACCTATCACTGTCACCAACACCAGCACCACCAGTACAACAACAACAACAGCTTATTCTTATCAATATCCTAATTATTTAGATAAAGAATCATTGGCTGCAACTAAAATTCAAGCTGGTTATCGTGGTTATTGTACACGTAAAAAATATGGTAATTTATCATTGAATAGTTCTTTACCATCATCAAATTATAATGTAACATCTACTATATATCAATTACCATTAAAAAATAATAATGATTTAGAGAATGCAGCCACACGTATACAAGCTAGTTATCGTGGTTATTTAACTAGAAAATCATTACGTGATGATAATATTACAAATAAATATATACCAATTAAAAATATTACTTATTATAATGATAAAATCAATAAAATTAATGGGAATAGAAATCAGAACAATGATGATGATGATGATATTGATGGGAAAGTGAAAGCAGTCACTAAAATTCAAGCTGGTTATCGTGGTTATAAAACAAGAAAATCATTAGCACCATTATTACATCCACATAATAATAATAATAATAATAATCAACATAATTTATTATTATCAAATAAAGAAAATCAAAATTATTTCGATTATAAATGTATCAATCAAGATAAACATAATAATAATCATTTACATGATCCTGAATTAGCTGCTACTAAAATACAAGCAATATATCGTGGTTATAGAACTAGACGACATTTACCTAAATAAATAAATTCAATAAAAATGCATATTATATATAATATGTATTGGACTAACTATTCATTGAACAATCTCTCTCTCTCTCTTTCTTCCTTGTCATTTACACCCATCCACCTCTTAAACTTCATTGGATCATGAATATTTTTATGAATTGAAATCTTTATTATGTTTAAATCTTAAACAATATTTGCATGCTCATTTGACTTATCAGTTTGCTTCTTCTTCTTCTTTCTATGTATGTTTTATTATTTCTATTTTATAAAAAAAACAATGATTGGTATTGTTATATAACAATGGAATAAAATATTGCCTATATTGTTTACTTCTTTGAATAAATAATAATAATAATCATTTCAGTTAAATCAACCATTATAGAATACTGTATACTTACATACTTATTATTTAATGATTCATTTTAATTAAAAGTTACACACAATATGATTATAGTTTCATTCAGTTTGTAATAACATTTCTTTCTTTCTTTCGTTTTTATATATTTGGAGATTGTTGTTGTTGTTGTTTTGTTTTAATAAATAAAATAAAGATGATAATGTGAATAACATTATAAATGTTTTAAATTAATTTCTCTTATTTCATTCAATTATAAATATTTATGTATTTAAATGAATGTAGGAGAAGGCTAGTCGGCGGTCTATGTATGCTCCATTAGGAGTAACAGGGTGTAAGTAAGTAAGTAAAAAAAATGTAACTCATTATTTATACACAATTCAATGTAATTGAGATTGAGTTTGTGAAATAGAAATAGATGAAATAAGTATTGAACTTTGGACTTAATGAAGTTTAACACGAATTCTTTAATAAGACTGAATATTTTGTCCAGTCAGAATACTTGTAGAAAACATCAGTCAGTTAGACAACTACAATGTAGGACCAGGCATATATATCCATTAGTCCAAGTTGCCATATCTCATTAGAACAACAAGATGAACATCCGATTCATAGAAGTAGTTAATTCAGAAGTGAGGGCGGAACAAGCACTATTAGAGTGGATCCCCGTCAACAGTCGTTTATGTGCTCTTCGGCTAAACGGCTACGTAAGAACTCGGAAGGACAGGGACACACATCGTTGCCTTTTTGTCGTTTCTGCCTACGCTCCCACTGACTGCAGCTCAGATGATGTGAAAGATGAATTTTACAGAAAGCTGTCTGAACTTCTTCAGAAAGCTAAACGCTCAGACATAGTATTGGTAGCAGGTGACTTTAATGCTCAGATAGGCAGTTGAAACCAAACAGAAAGGCCTTTAGGTGGATATTTTAGTATTCTGACACAGCGAACAGATAATGGTGATCGTCTGCTGCAAATATGCTCAGACAATCGTTTATTTTTAGCAAACACAAATTTTAAGCATAAGGAGAGACTTCGTCTAACAATGGCAACCCCCTACACCAAACCAATGATGGACTCAAATAGACCATATTGCCATCAGTCATCGTTGGAGAGGGTAGGTAGAAGATTGTTGCTCATTCTGGAGTACCTACTTGAACTCCGACCACGCCCTAATACAGGCACGCATCTGCTTGTGTCTCACTGGACGCAAAAAAAGCCACACTAAAAAGACCCATTAGAACTAAGTTGAGTAACGAGAAAACCAAAAGTAGGTTCCAGGGACAACTGAGGTCACACTTACGTAGTTCTGAAGACGAGGCTGACCTAGATGTTGCTTGGAAAGATATACGAACAGCTGTGGAAACAGCAGTGACATCTATCAGTGATTTAAACCACAGGGTTACAAAGAACCAATGGATTTCCTCTAGGTATATTGCACTGATGGATTCTCGCAAACCCATCCCATCAGGCTCTGAATACGATGAACAGCGAAAACAAATCATATCTACGTTAACCAAAAGTCTAAGGAACGACCGTGAGCAGTGATGGGCAACGAAAGCAAAAGAGATGGAAAAGGCGGCGACTATAGGGAACACAAGACAGCTTTACAGACTAATAAAAGATACTGGAATTAATAAATCAAGTGTAAGTCAGACTGTTTCGGAAAAAGACGTCACTCTCATCTGCTCCCAGTCCAGACATTTAGAACGATGGGCTGAACATTTCAGAGAACAGTTCAGCTGGCCTTCAGCGACTCTACAGCTACCGTCCATTCCCAGACAGTGTGAATGGAACATTAAAGTAGGTCCCCCAAATTTAGCAGAAGTTCAAAAGGCTATAGTTAATCTGAAACGAGGAAGGGCAGCTGGTCCAGATGGATTAGCTCCAGAGGTCTTTAAGTATGGTGGTCCAATTTCAGCGATTAGGTTGACTAATATTTTAGCTAAGATCTGGGAATTAGGCGTTATCCCATATGACTGGTCGCAATCACTGATCACCACAATATATAAGGTCAAAATCATCCTGTGACAACCATAGAGCGATTAGTTCAACTAATACAGCATCTAAAATACTAGTCTCGATAATTATCGGACGCTTAACTAAGACTTGTGAACTGAAAAGACGTGAGAATCAAGCTGGCCTCCAACGGTGTTAATGTCCAACTTCAATCATACATAGCACGCGGTGAATAACTGTCTAAAACCCGAATTAAATCGACCTACACTGTTCACGGCTTCTAACCATAACTCTAGAACTTATATCTTGTAGCTAGTCACTAGTGAGAACCTAACTATTATTAATAAGGATTTATTTATCATAGTATTTTCACGGTTGAAATTACAAGCAGTCTCATACTAGAAGGAAACAGCTGTCAAATACTTTCACGTTTTTCATAGTGATCTAGCTAAGATCAGTTCGTGATTTCAACTGCAAAAGTATTTGATTATCAAATTACATATTATTAGTTTTGAACATATTCTGGTTTGTTTTTATTATCATCTATATCATAAACAACATGAACGTACAAAGTTTTTTTTTGTATACCATATGTCAGATTTGCTTACGATTTATCTTGTACATTATCAAATCATTATAATACACCTAAAGTTCAGTTGGTCTAAACCTCACAAACATACTTTCTACTATTTTAGTACAGTTGTATAACTTATCAAAAACAGTGTTTTTAATTTAATATATATAAGGTAGATTATTACTAACTGAGAATGTGAATAATATGTTTGTTAAAAACTGGAAGTTAAGATAAAAAGTGTTATATAATCATACCTAAAAGTGGAACAAAACAATGTAAGAACTATGCAAATACTTTAACTTAAAGGGAAATAGTTGGACAAGAATATAATATAGTTGAATTTTACTATTTAATCTGGTTAACTACATTTCATCGTTCATCGATTATGAGAATATCACGTTAATTCATTAGGAAGAATGAAAACACTTCAATAAAGAAAACTTTCTTCTTGACAATAACATTTTCAATAGTGGAAATCATGAGTCAATTGAAGCTAGACCAACATGGAAAACCTGGGAGCACTGGACGGGAGTCTCATTCCAGTATGGGACTTTTCAGCAGTGCGCATCCACGATACCGCCCCCCGCGAGATCCGAACCCAAGAGTCCCATAATAGGACGAAATGGCCGTCCAGTGCTTCCAGGTTGATCTAGCTTCAATCGACTCATGATTTCAACTACTGAAATTTTTAGAATCTCCACAAAACCCCTCCCGATAATAACATTTTTTTATGTTTATAGATAATTATACGATTTCAATTCTTGACATGATGGAGATTTGTAGCTCAGGTGGATGATTTTGTTGGAGTTTTATTCTCTGAACTAGATGGTTTAGTCGTGGAGCTTCCATCGTTCATCTGAAGGACATCATCAACACAAACTTCAGGTAGACGTTTGCGCTAATGATACCAATTCATTTGAATAAGGTTGACTATTTTTTTAACCATTTTATAAAACTTCTCGACGAGACTAATCCATGGACGAGCCAACCAGAAGCGTCTTATAGATTTCAAGGTTACGGTGCCAACTTCAGTGCTTAATGCTAACGTATGATGGGCTCACAACGAATTTTGTGCAAAACGTGATAATTGAGCGGCTATAAAAAATAAAACGGCGAGAGTATAATTTGTGAACGATTAAGTCAGGTATCATATAATAGATCTCGGATTTTAACGCGAAAGCCTTTCACCCTTTTGGTTAAATAAACTCCTGGCGTTATAGCTGATGTGAGTTCGTGATAAAAAACCACATATATAATTCCTAACTAAGGCAAATTATGACAACTATCGCGAACTGGATGATAAAAGCACCAGTAACATTGGATGCAGTCGGGTACTACAATATATTCGGATGTTTGGAGAGCGTACAAACTCCTACAATGGCTTGGTTATGCGCATCGCTCGTTATCCACAAGTAGCATTTTGTGTATTCAACAGCCAAAGTACATATAAACAGTAGTGAAACTATGTGGTTCGAGCTGAAAGAGTTTTTGAGACTTTATCATGGTTCCAGAAGCCGACTATTCTGTAGTCGTATGGATGATTTCCTCTACTGTATGCTTTACGATTTTACAACCTCGGAACCCCTTTCTAAGTTTGACAAGTTTTTAAACCACGTAAAAGAAGTGTATCCACTTTATTTCTTTGGTTTTGTATAATATATTTTTACTCTACACATACTGTTTGCTGATTCGCTAATATCTCTGAAGATCACTTGGGATTCGTTAAAAGGTCGTCCATAAATTAGAGTCTCGCCAAGTTTTCTATTTTACTATAGAAAATGATATGTAAGTAATTACCAATTAAAAAAATACGATTGTACTGCTTTAGAAATTGATATCGTCAAGAAGTTAAAAATTCGCGTAAATGTATTTCATAACCTTATAGAATTAGAAACAACTGAAGAAAATTTGGAACTCAAAGCAACTGTCAACCAACACCAATGTCAGGATTTTCAATATAAATGTCAAAACAGTTCTACTGTATGGGGCGGAAACCTGGAGAACTACGAAAGCAATCACCCAAAAAATACAGGTGTTTATTAACAGTTGTCTACACAAAATACTTCAGATCCGTTGGCCGGACACTATTAGCAACAACGTACTGTGGGAGAGAACAAACCAGATCCCAGCGGAGGAAGAAATCAGGAAGGAGCGCTGGAAGTGGATAGGACACACATTGAGGAAAGCATCCAACTGCGTCACAAGACAAGCCCTCACATGGAATCCTCAAGGCCAAAGAACACATTACGCTGGGAAATGGAAATAGACATAAGAAAAATGAACAAGAATTGGATGGAACTAGAAAAGGATGCCCAGGACAGAGTAGGTTGGAGAATGCTGGTCTGCGGCCTATGCTCTATTAGGAGTAACAGACGTGAGTAATAGAATTACAGGTGTTTAATGCGATAATAATCAATATATACTTAAGATTCATAGCATACAAGGATGTGACGAAGACTAGTTCTATAATTGTATACAAGTATACACTGATAGTCGAGTCAAAGCTTATGAAGAACTATTACATAAATTAAAAACATCTTCAGAGTTTTCTCC